AATAATAATAATAATAATAATAATAATAATAATAATAATAATGATTAAAATAATAATAATTCTAATAATAATAATAATAATAATAATAATAATAATAATAATAATTAAAATAATAATTCGGTTCGAAAAGATCAACTGAGAAAGTCGAAATGATCAATTAGTTAAAGTGAGTTAATTAATTAACAAATTTTTCTCACTTGAATGGATGAAATTTGAGAAGCGTAAGAAAATTTTTTTCCGTCAACGCTAAAAAATACTTCGGTCGTTCGTAGAGAAGTTCCATAGGCCCAAATTTCAAGGTATGCAAATTTTCGAATTTCCGAAAATTCAAATACAATTTCCACAGATCCATCTTCAAAAAATAAGAGCAATTATTGATAAGACGCAATCATAAATTTGTTATTATAGTTATTAATAAGTTTAAGCTCGTTATTATTATTAATTATCTAAATGAGAAAAGATTTTATATCATTTGCAGCAGTGATTGTACTTGTTATCAGTCGATTCCATCCAATCCAAGATGGCATCACATTATCATCGCTGATAATATTTTCTAATGGATTTGCTACACCGATCACACCATCTGTGAGCAGTCCTAAACCTCTGAAATTCAAATTTTATCATAAGTTAACATTTATAGTAATTATTTACCTCTATAAAACTTAAATTTAATTATTCACCTCAATAAAATTTTTTTTAAATTATAAAGTTTACATTTTTTAATCGAATACTAATAATTTGCATTTCAATGAATTTTCTACCCTCAAACAACTATGCCATGCTTGAAAATCAGAATAGCAAAATAGCAACAAATTAGCATATTCAAATTAGTATCCGTTGCTTCTATGAGTTTATTCCATACTAATTGATAACATTTTAAGGCATAATTATTTGGAAATCTTATTTTCTGCCTTGATTAAACCCTCACCAAACTAATTTTCTTCATTAAATTTTTAACAAATGTTAATTATGCCATATTTGCATAATTATTGTTTATCAAAAATTGAAGAGAATATCTCAAACTATAGTCAAACTATTAAATTATCTTTACTTCAGAATAAAATTCAAAAGCACAAGTGCCTAACAAATACAATCTTTTACATAATTTTTAATATATTTTTAATCAACAAAGTTATTCTAACTCATATGGTAATAAATTGTAATTACTCAAAATTACCTGAAATTATAACTGAAAAATAATTGTTCAATAAAAGAAAAAGTCATTTTGAACAATTAATTATTATTAACACGCATACTTTTTAGTACCCGTAAAATGACTAAACATGGTTGATTTTTCGAAAATTTTGTCCCGAAAATCGTAATTATCAAGTCTTGAACCATCATTATTCATCGAATAAAACATTAGGCCTTCTGCAAAAATAAGTAATATTTGCAGAAGTATTAAAATTAAATAATATTTACAGTACTATTAATTTGTTTTGAACTTTTATTCCGCATCAATAAATTTTTTGTTAATTTAATAAATATATACATAAGTAATTAAGTTTGCAACATTAAAGCTCAAAAAAAAAATTAATAGTACCGTAAATAATGATAAACGATATCGTATTAACTATGCAGCCTTTTTTACAAAAATATGGTAGTAATGTAAAATTTGTATTTATTGTATAAAATTTGTATTTAATAAATTGTATTTTTTAAACTTAAACAAAATTTCATATCAAATTAAATACCAAAAAGAAATTGAAAGCTAATCAAATTGAATTCCATGGAAAAATTTGAAGACAGCACTTAGTTTTTCAATTAAATTCATTTTAATGCAATTTTGAAAATGCACTGAATTTTTTCGGTTGAATTTAGAGCTGAATTTTTGATTGAATTGAATTCTATATGGTTTTGCTAGCGTCTGATGAATATTATCCAAAAAGTTGCCACAGATATGACCTAATCTTGCTTGAATTTTAGTTTTTACGAAAATAAAAAAACCAAATCATAATATTCTTCGATTTAGTTCGGATTATTTTAGTTTGAAACATTAGAGAGTTCGGTCTTTGTATTTCATTCACAAATTAAATATTACAGAATTACAACAACAAAAAATATGCAAAATGAAGTTAGAAAAAATGTATACCATCATACTGACATCCATAAAATTCTACTCTAAGGCACATAGTTCTTGCATACATTGAAAATGGTACAATTCGGATACGTGAAGCAAGAATCGGTGGATCAAGGTCACGTCTTACAGAATTTGCAGTTTCTTCATTTCCATCAATTACTTCGATAAGACTTCTATTATGATAACGTATCCATGGACTTTCCATTCTAACGTATTCAATCATGTAATGTGTGGTGTATTCCCGACCTGTACCATTTCCATAACGACCTTGCGTTTCAATTCCTGTTATCACGTGTACTTCTTTGAAATCTACCTACAATATATACGTGTATTTTTAAAATAATAGTATGTACTTGAATAGACAAAATTTCAAAACAAAAAATTTAACCAGGCAGTAACAGTAATATTACTTAAAACAATATTGAACAATTTTGACGGACAAAACAGTAATTTCTTACTATCATATACTGTGAATTGCTGCTCTATAAAACTTGCATATTCAAACTGATAAAATTTTTGAACTAGAATTCAATTTAGCAGCTATAATTTAAAAAGTATTACTGAAACTTAATTTTACAGTAATAATCAAAGTATTATCAATTAAATTTGATTTGTCATTCTGTCGTTGTATAGTAACTTTGTTTTATTATTCAGATTTAATCATTTTTACAGCTATAATTCATCCCCTTAATTCGAGTTCTTTTCAGTTAAATGCTTTCTTATGATTACATTAAATTTACAATAGAATAAAATTAGTCTATTAAATTACATTACATAGTGATTTTTTATTGAAAATGAATGAATATTGAAAAAACTACGATCATAAAAAGTAATGAGTTTCAATGAAATTAGCTGTCGGCTTTTAAATTCTAAGCTGTCAGTTTTTGATTCACAAATTAATAACAATTAAGTTGTAATTCAGGACTATTTTTTTTTTGAATATCAATTTTTAGCTCATTTATTAATTCAATAAGATCCATAATTTTTTAGATGTCAATATTAGTTAAAAAATGAGTGATTCTGAATATTTGATTTTTTACTATAATATAATTTAATTATGTACCCAAAACCGTCTTAAATGCATTCAGTTCTACTGAAGTCCTAAAAAGGTTATTACTAATTTGATTTATTGTTACATTAATATTACTTAATTAGCAGAATTAAATGTCATTCATTTTAGCATAACTAAGTTAAAATAATAATTGTTTAAAGTGACAACTGTTTGTGCTTTTCATCAAATTATCACAGTAATATTACAATGTTATTTTAGCTTCTTTTTATTTATATCACAATTTTATTCAGACTTTTTCACACGTAGCATTGTCTGACGTGAACTGATATAATTTTAATTATCATTAGTTACTATATAATAACTTTTATATTCTAAAAATTTTTTACAGTTTTAGTAGTGAAACTGTTTTGGTCATTTTCAGGAAGGAAATATTAGTTTTCGTATTTTGAGAATTTTGGAATTTTATTCTGATAACAAACAGTATTAAAAAATCATTGAAAATTTTTCTCTATTTGTGATATCAAATTGAATGCTTAATTAATTAGCAAAATTAAATGTCATTCATTTTAGCATAACTAAGTGCTAATTATTAAAATATCACAAAAAAATTTTTCAATGATTAATTAAACATTTGACATTTAATGCACGACTAACAGCTCATAATTATTTTACTGTTATAAGCTTAAAAATTTTGGATTTTTAATAACTTGAAAGGCAATTTTCCAAACGATCAAAAAATGAAATGATTAATTGTAATTGAAATTAACTCGTAAGATATAACCTCCAAAAATTCATATGACCCTTCTTTGATTTGTGGCTTAGGACACCAAGCACCTGACGCAAGTTCTTTGCGGATTCTGAAAATTACTAACAGTTATTTTCATTAAATTTGAAAACTTTAAGACAGCAATTTTTCACAGTGAAAATAAAGCTGGCAATAGTAAGTAACACTAATGACTAACATTATCGTTATTATTGTTATTATTACTATTATTTAACATTACTATTGAAAATCTTAACTTATCAAGATTATCAATTCTTTCTAAAGTTGCGTGCTTTTGTTATAGTTTAATCCTGATATTTAATCATTTATAATTAATTCAAATGGAAATATTTTTTATCTTTTCGTCTTGTGCTAATTAATAATTATTATTATCATCAGTGCAGTCATGAAGACAAGCAAAACATGTCAATGGCAAATGAACTGGTGACATGAGACATTATTAATCTGAATAGTAATTACCATATTATATCTGACCTGCAAACCATCTAATTACACTGAAGAATTATTTAAGTTAATTATTTGTAAATTGTTTGAAATATTTGCAAGGTTATTGTTTGATATAATTTTAAAGTACCTAAAAATAAATTCACTATTTTGTAAAGTCAAATAAATAATTCCAGGTCACAAAAATTTGCTAAAAAGTTTAGATATTTTAAGTATTTCATGAATATTTATGTCTTTTAGACTGTTGAATATTTTCCGTTCAAAAATATTTACGGTTTAATAAATATTTACGTGTTATTATTGATTACTCCTTTATCCTTGAAGACTAACTATCAAGAGCTCAAAATTGTTTCCTATAATAATTGAGCACCTGGCATTTTGTGGTCCCACACTTATCACATCAAAGCTACTGGAAGCAGTCAGTTGTTCATCTCCAATTGCACCACTTTCCATGCCTAATGCAGAAACTCGACATTCTGCTGAAAATATGTCTTCTTCGAATTTCAAATTCAAATCAAAATTCTTCAACCTTTGTGATAAATTATGATTGCTTATCAGTTATAATTAATTTTTGATGATTTGTGATTGCTTCTGATCAAGTGATTGAAGTTTGTTGATTTGTTTATTTGGAAAAAAGATCAAATAATAGTGGATCAAAAGTGAAGTAATTTGATATGCCAACAAATGATAATTTCTTCAACTTTAATCCATCAACAAATGGCAGAATTTTTCATTGTTAATTGAAGTAAATATAGAATTGACAGTATGATTGACTAGCAAATAATATCACTAACAAATACTTACTTTTTATCTTTGACAAGAGATAACTAAAATGATAATTTTGGTCATTTTTCTTTTTAAATTCAATTTAATAAATATTTGTAAATTAATAATTTAATAATTATTTTGATGAAAACCAAAAAATAAATAAAATAAAATTGCGCAAAAAATTGAATTCAAACTTTGTTTTTGCAAAAACAATATAATAGTCTTAAAATACGAACGAAAAGCTAAAAAGTTGATTTACTGATTAATAAATTTGATTTTTTCAGTTTCATTTATTATCAAAACATTAATATCAAAAAATCGATAGTTTAAAGTTATTAAAAATTGATAAAATTTATTTAGTAAAAAAAATTTTCAGACTTATCAACTTTGTAGCTAAAAGTTGCTAATTCGAAAAGTCTGCACTAAGTTATAAGTTTACTAAGTTTTAAGTTAATAAGTTTACTTACTCACTGAATGGGATAAAATTCAATAAACTAATAACTAATTATATTTATTGAAATCTTTTAAATATATTTTTCTAAACTTTTTTGATGCGATTTTAAATTTGAAATATTTTGACTTGAAATAAATCTTTTAACGTGAAATGGTTTAATCGATGGTCAAGCTTATTACGCTTATAATTTCCAAATATAAAATTGGGGAATTTGAGTTCTGTTTAAAATAACTGATAATAAAATGGTTTCAAAAAATTGAAATTTATAGCAAGCATTTAGTATCAAACTATAAGTATTACAATTTGTTTGCGATGCTTCCCCAAATTTGAATATTGTATTTACAGTGCGTAATGGGAAATATATTGGAAAGGTATGACCGAAGGAGAATTTTCAAAGACATAAATATATTCACATCAGATAACAATAAAGTTCGTCACGGTCATTTCTTTACCAAGTAGAAAGGCCATTTCATGGCAAGGTTAAAGTTCAATAAGGTATCATTAACCATCTTTGTTGTCTTTGTATGTTTTTCGCTTCCATATGTAAATTTTCTATTTTACTATTAACTTTACAATTGATAAATAATATAATTTACTACTTGCGTTTTTTTTCTGAAATTTTTCGAGTGATTTTTGTTAACAACAAATTGCTATTTATTTCAGTTCAAAGTAAATTGACAAATATGTACGTAAAAAAAGAAAAAATGAGTATTTAAATTATTTTAAATATGCAAATAGACAAACTGTGCAAGCGGTGACTTAGGTAAAACTGAACAAATTTATGATTTGCGCAGCTGTTAATGACAAATGCGTAAAAAGTAAAGAAAGACAGTACCGGAACTGATTGGTTTTAGTGATTGGCAGTTAGTGGTTTTTGGGTAAGCGATCAAAAGTCCTCCATTGATTCAAGACTTCCAGTAGATAATGAAGTTCGGGAACTGTTTACGGAGAGTTTTACTTGACGTAACAAACATTGCACGTTTTAATACTATCATAAATTACCATATAGTACTTTTGCAGTATTCAGGCAAAATACAAAAGATTACTTTAAATTTTTTGTAATATTTAATATTTAAAAAATAATAATCATAGCGACATTCGCATCGTAAGAATTATGAGTCTCGAAAATTGTCGCAAAGTAGATAAATTTGTTATATTATATTATTTTTGGTCAAAAAGAATCTTTGAAATAATAGTTATGATGATAGTTCAGTAGTAATATGCAAGCATCAAAATTATTGCAGAAAGAGGTGCTGGAAAAATTAATTTTTAAAAGTGTGAATTAAAAGTCTTAAAATATTTCGAGAACGTACCCCGGCATTTCGAGACTAGTTTCAATCACTATAATTATCAAAGGGTTGGATGAGCGACACGCACAGAATATTTAAAATTACTTAGTAATTTTTTTCAAAATTTAAGAATGAGTTTAGTTTCTTGAGCTTTCTGAATCACATGAAGTCAAAATATTTGTCAAAAAACTCAAAAAATATTAAATGCAAGCGATTAATGAACATTAACTTTCACTGAATTTGCATGAAAGAAACGAAGGTTCAGAGGTCAATTTGAGACAACTTGGAATACTTATATATGCTCCTTGAAATACTTCTTGATCCCAAACAAGTTTGATCTTGTACAATAAAAAGCATGAATTGTTTCGAGTTGAAATATACTTGCTTTAATAGATTAGCAGAATGAGCATAAGTGGACTTCAAGAACGATCATACATTTGAATTAACCTTTGACTCTAATTTGATCATCGTGCAGATTAAGTAGAATGAGTGGTGTAAATGACTGCATGGATATATATATTTTTCGCTGATTATATTATATTCACTTAGACTTAACTCTTAGATTAGTTACGCAATAGCAAGCTTGTTTACTGACTAAAGTTAAACAGCACATTTCACTAAGACTCAAAATGATCGGAATAGAAATAAACTGCTAGCCTTGTCAAAGTATAGGTTAAATATTAATAATAATTATTACAATCATAACGAATGACAGAATATTTTGCTGTCGACGGATCATTGCAGTTATGTACACAAATAAAGAATAAAATTAGCGGAATTGAGGAACGAATAACAAAATTTGAATTCAACAATTTTACAACACAATGAAAAAAATTATATTATTTGCTTGCTGATAAATTTTGCTGCAGAAAAGTAAATCATTTTCAGTATCTGTACTTTGTTTTATTTTATTAAATGTATTGTGGAGTCAAAGGTCAAAGTCATGAAAATAGATCAGAAAATTAGATATCAGTTTGATTTTCAATGATTTAAAATTTTGAGATGAAAATGATGTCGTTAGTTTAATGTTTCCATTAAGAGTGCACTGTTTTAGACTGTTTTACCTTTTTAAATGTTATTCATTAATTGTTGTAAAATGATGATAAATAAGTATTCGTATATAAATCCCTTAATCAGATTTAGCGATCAGTTCCCATTTGATGATACTATGCATGTTACTTCAGAGTATTATAAAACTTTTCAGCAAATTATTGAAGTTAAAAAAATTGAATCTATTGGCATAATTATATTTTTTAGTTCATTTAAAAACCTCTAAAACAATTGATACTCTTCAGATTAATTTTTTAAACTTTCAACTACTATTTGAGGATTATAACTTATCAGCAAAATTTAAAAATGCTAACTAAGATTTATTTACTCTTAGACACAGTAATCTTCTACTAAATGGTAAACGTCAAAAATTCTGTGCAAGAATCAAAACTTTAAAACTTATTTACTAGAAATTGAATTTTTTCAATCCCTAATCAAAAGTAGCCAGCAGGTGCATTTTTTGCTGATAAGTTATAATATTGGAAATGTTTTTCGGTATTTTACTACCTTTGTTGGCCCATATGCGATGATTGTTTTTGTAGCAAAAAATTATGATATCGAAAAATTTTTATGACCAAAAAAATATTTCTACGAGCAAATCACAACTGATTGTAAAAATAAATTGAGGGAAGACGGTAAGCCATAAAAATATTTTGTACAGAAAATATATTGTTAAATTGATAATTTTCTACCGAAATTTCGATAAAGTTATATTTTATAATTGCGCAAAAATATATTTAATATTTTATTGAAATTATTCTTAGTATTCAGCAATCACGTTTATATCCGCTTTTTAATAAGTCATATTGTAAAAGTTATGGTAGAAAGTGTTCGAATAAATTAGCTGCGAACTGTAGCTTTTACATGTTGATAAATTAAATAACACTTAAACTATAAGAAGATTACTGTAAAGTAAATTCAAAAGCAGAAGTCCAAATTTTTTTCAAAGTAATTCTAGCATTTTTTTTGAATATGTTAATTTTTTTAAAGGACAAATTATTTTGACCCGTAATAATTGAAATTAGCAACAAAATTCAGAGTTATATTATAATATTGTGGTACTGTACTATAAAGCAATGAAAGTATCGTATTCTGATTTACAGTAATAAAAAAACTGCTAAATTTGTAAAAAATTCTTGACAGATTCATCAAAATTATCTAAATTCGATTATCTAAACTCATTGCTGAGGATTCTGAAAGCAATAAGAATTCGCGCAATGCTGTAGAAATATTTAAAGTTCATAACAATGATTTCTGAAAGTGATAAAATTACTTTTGAATTCTTGCATTTATGTTTGCCAATTTAGAATGCTATAAAAAGAGATTCTTATCGTTTCAATATAAGTGATTGAAAAACAGCGATAAATATTGCAAAGAAAGTATTAATAATAATTACTAATTTAATTCATAAAATAATTGCAAAGACTTTTTTTGAGAATAAAAATTTGAAAATTTGCAGCTGTCAATTTGATAAATGTTTTAGAATAAATTCAGTGGCATAATTCATTGCTATAAGCTTTCAGTGATGAAAATTACTGATAGTATTGAAACAAATGGCGCTTTCGTTGAAGGCAAAGTATCACAATTTTATTACTTAAAAATTATAGAAAATTTTAGATGAACTTAAAAGATTAAATCTTTACTTGCTTAACTTTTGTGCTATTTTTGAAATTTTTTTTGAAGATTAATTGCAGAAAAATTATCCACAATAACGTTTGTTAAATATTACTGCGTGTTATTTTACTTTGAAATACTTCAAAGCTGTCAACAGGAAAGTTCGCTAGAATAAATTCTGAAAATATTTTAATAATTTGAATTTATTGAAATTTAATTTATGAAATAATTGAAAAAACTTTTTTTGAGAACAAAAATTTGAAAATTTAATACTTTCT